AACCGAACTCCGTGTCAGCGTCCGGCTGATAGTCTGAGTGGGCCGCACCCGTTAATAACCAAATAGCAGAGTCTACATCCATGACCGGTTCTCTCTACGAGAATGTGTCACTCAAAACATGTCCTCTGTATCCAACTCAGTATCGGGCTGAGGTTGAGCCGCGCCCTCTAATAACAAAACAGTGTCCGGTTCCGCATATGAGAGGGGTTCGTTCTCTGTTCGTGAAAATAAAATATCATTCTCAGATCGAGGTGATGGGGGGCCGCACCCTCTTGTAATCCAAACCAGTCTTAGTCCCTTAGAGACTCAGGGTGACCAACTGCAGGGGTACACCATTTACTAATATCAGCATAAGACTGAGATCCTGAGGTGGGTCTCTCTGACCACGAGACCTCTCTGTGAATCGCTCACCTGAGATGGAATCAACTGTTAATAAACCAGACCGATGGAAGATGGAATAGTATACAACCTTGGGCCGTGTCCATCCTTAATAACAGAAAGGAATGGTGAGAGAATGCAACCTTCGGAAACAATGATGGAAACTACCAACTGACTGCCCGGATCCCGTGCGCGCGGGGTCCAGGATGACCGTTGGTAACCTGAGGAAGCTGGAGACATTCTCTGCAATCCACGAGAGCCCGGGAGGTCGGAAGAGGTTAAGTCAGGTCTCTCGATGACCCGATCGATAGGACAATTGGAAGGCTCGAAAACCAAGAAACGACAACTAAAGTAGATAACGGTAAATACGTACCTCAGAGAGAAGGTAAATAGCAGATCGGAACAGCAAGCCAAGTAAACCCAACCGAAAGGGTCAGGAGCTAAACATGACGTAGGACTAACTACCCATACCTAAGATGGATACCGGAAAGGCAGCTAGATGGTTAGTTGTTGAAGGCAAGGCAACCGTGCTCCCCTGTTGGCGTCTGAGCACTGGGCCCTGCTTGTGCGAAATTCTCTTTGGAGATGTGCCGCTGCCGGGTTGGTGTAAACCGCGGTAGCGCGCCCGGGTATCCTCATAAAAAACTTTGTCCCTCAGGGCCTGAGGTTTAGGGCCTGCACCCTCCCAATCATATTTAGGTGCCCGTATACTGGTTTCCTCTTGGATAGTAAGGCAACAGTGCTTGCCTGGACACCCACTCATCTCCATGTCAATAGTGGGTACTGGGATTTACCCAGTGATATCCACCCAGGCCTGCAGCCAAAAGGGTTTTCGGGCCCAGATAGCTCAGGCCAAACAAAGGGGCACAGATAGAGCAGGCTAGTCAGAAGGGCACGGACATAGCAGGCCAATCAAATGGGCACAGACCTAGCAGGCCAATCAAATAGGCACAGACATAGCAGGCCAATCAATGGGGCACAGACATAGCAGGCCAATCAATGGGGCACAGACATAGCAGGTCATACCCTGGTGTTGTATTCCGACAGTAGCAGGAGGTCAATCTGTGTAGGGCCCCCTATATGTGTAATGAAAACATGGGAACCTAGGGTGAAATAACTCCAATATGTAAAACCCCCTAGGCAGAGTAGCAATGTGCCTATAGGTATACAGGAAACTGATTAAAGCACCTTTAATGCTTGTGGCCAAAAACAAGGATATCATGTTGCAGGAAACTCAGCAGTAAAGGGTGTACTGCCTACAGGCTGTTCTCCAGCCCTTGTATAAATATATATATATATATATATATATATATATAATATATAATCTGTGGTATCTCATGATTGCTATATATATATTTATAATATATAATCTGTGGTATCTCATGATTGCTATATATATATTTTCCCTGAGCAGGGTGGAGGGGCCCTCCCAGACCGCCAGCGAACTAGGCTGGACCTCCACCGAGAACGGTACTGGCGGGGGAGGGGCCGTGCACCCTCCCCCCCGCCCGGTCAGACACACGCGGTTCATGGGCGGAGACAGCTGTGGCGAAGCAGCCACGTGGGAAAAGAAGATCCAGCCGCCGGGTACCCGCGCTCGCCCGCGCGTACCCCGGCAACAAGAAAAAACACACGGGACCATCTGAGATGAACTCCGCGGTCTCGGATCTCGGGGGAACGGAGGAGGCAAATGCTTTGGTCAGCTGTCTGAAGACCCCGAGCGGCACACCAACCACCAGTAATAAAACAAAGGTGGATAACACATTAGAAACTGAAATATACAGAGTGGGAAAAACGGACAGGAAGGCAAGATCAAGGGGATAGAGGCCAACAATTACAGATGAAGAAATAGTGATGGTCTGAAGTACAGGCACTTAAGAAAATCCCACAAGGACTATAACAGCATTGCATTTACAGGAATAAAATCCCACAAGGATAAAACATACTGCATTATAAGAATAAAATCCCACAAGGATAAAACATACTGCATTATAAAAATAAAATCCCACAAGGATATAACATACTGCATTATAAAAATAAAATCCCACAAGGATTATAACAATGCTGCATTATAAAAATAAAATCCCACAAGGATTATAACAATATCATTATAAGGCTAATATATAAGCAATAAACCCCAAAGCCACCCACAAGAAGCAGGAGGCAGTGGTACTCTGACCTGTACTGACTGCGGAGCAGCAAAGAAAGAGGAAATTATGCATGGGGAGGGGAGTTTTATAGTACCTAACTTTTTTCTGATTGGTTGTTTTTTCTGTGCTGCTGTGGAGTTCTAGTAAAGAGAGACTTAAGCAAATACTCGCCTCCTGTCATGTTATAAAATTGGGGTGGGGGGAAGCAAGGCGTGTACCTTTAAACATCAGTTAAAGAAGGTTTTGTGGTGGTGATGATAGCTGTTATGATAAGTGGTTGCAGTCCTTTTAAACCGCACTGAGTTAACTTTTAAAACTGATAGTTTACCCATACCTTTGGGTTATAGTCTTGTGATGTTCCCAGCAGTACCTTCTCAAAGATCATGGGCAAGAGCTCTTCTGATTTATCGGATACCTGTAATAAGCCATGGAGGCCACAACAACCCACGCTTGCAAACAGAATCCACATTATTCCAGATAATGTTCAAATGTTATCAGTTTTATTTCTGCCATGAATATTAAAGTATCAAGGGACATTTAAAAAAAATATGAAAGTATGCATGTGGAATTTACTAGACTTTTTCTAATGCAGAAGTAGATTAAAGCAAGTCCAATACCAATTTCACAAAATCCATATGTGACCGGACTGAAATTGTCTGCAGGTCCTAAAGCCAAACCAGGTTTATTAGGATTACTTGAATTTTTATGTATTATGGATGCCTTTAGGCAATAACAGATGAAAAGATTTTCAAACGCCTAGAATGAAATCAAGAATAACGTTAAATCAAATAATTGATCCGTTCTCCACCGCAATATAGAGATGTGAACTACAAAGGAATTTCTCTATACCTTGTGTCTAAATAAAGTTTTTTTACTCTTGAATTGAAGAAAACTCACATTACAAGGTTTTTATGCATATCCAAGATGTGTGCTGATAAATCTTGTGTTTAGAAATTACCAAGTGAAAAGGATTAGAGTCCAACTGAACTTTAAAAGGGACTTCTGTTTGTTTTGCTAAAGTAGATTATACCTCCCAGCCTGTCTCTTTTAGGAGGGACAGCCCATAATATAGACCCATAATTTTGCATACTATCAGAGGAAATATTGTGTAATTAAAATGTAATAATTAAACATTATATACAATAAAATCATTCTTAAAATCTTTAAATAGCAACATTCTAATTTGATGGTACTTGCATCTTATGTCCCTGGTGACCACAGACATCCGAAATTGGTGGACTATCCAAAAAGACTTACTGACAGCCTCTTGGCCAGCTCTACAAAGCGCAGTCCAGGCATATTACTGCTAGTCAAGTTTCTGCATTGTCTTAGTGCCCTCCTGGCACTTCGAGCGCGTCTAATTATGTGTTCACGCAGTGCTTGCTGGGGACAGATCCTTAGTGTGTGTGGGTGTTTACTGTACCCATTATTACTATGTTGGAATGTAGAAAAGTAGTGTTTGAAAAAAAATCATACAAAGAGGTTTATTCTCTTAACAGCAAATGGTGTTGAATTGAAAATCCCATTGTTAGCTGATATTGAGAGAGTTTCAAACTCAGTTATAGTCACAGATTGGTTATTCTAGCCTCCATTTTGCCGTTCGTCACTATTCGGTGTTTAGTGAATAAATCCCAAGTGTTCTTGTCTTCTGCTACTGAACCGTTTAAAAATAATCTTAAAGACAGCATTGAAAGTCATGTTTCAGTGTTTGCAGATGACACAAAACTCTGTAAAATAATACAAAGTGAGCAAGATATTACTTTGCTGCAGAGGGATTTAGATAGACTGGGGGACTGGGCACTCAAATGGCAGATGAAATTTAGTGTTGAAAAATGCAAAGTTATGCACTTTGGTGTAAAGAATACACAAGCAACGTATACCCTTAATGGAAGCGAATTAGGGATAACAACACGAAAATAACACACGAAAAGGACTTGGGAATTGTTATAGACAACAAACTATGCAACAATATGCAATGTCAATCATCAGTGGCCAAGGCCAGTAATGTATTGTCATGCATGAAAAAGGGCATTCATTCTCGGGACGAGAATATAATTTTGCCTCTTTATAAATCACTGGTAAAACCACATATTGAATATGCTGTGCAATTTTGGGCACCTGTTCTAAAGAAGGATATTATGGCACTAGAAAAAGTGCAGAGGCGAGCTACAAAATTAATAAAAGAAATGGAACATATCAGCTATGAAGAAAGGTTAACAAATTTAAACCTATTTAGTTTAGAAAAACGTCACCTGAGAGGGGATATGATAACATTATACAAATATATTCGGGGCCAATACAAAGCAGTATGTGGAAATCTATTCACAAACCGGACTTTACATAGGACACAAGGTCATGCGTTTAGACTGGAAGAAAGAAGATTTTGTCTAAGGCAAAGGAAAGATTTTTTTCACTGTAAGAACAATAAGGATGTGGAATTCTCTGCCTGAAGAAGTGTTTTTATCAGAGTCCATACAGATGTTCAAACCGCTACTAGATGCATACTTGCAAAAACAGAATGTTCAAGGATATAATCTTTCAATGTAGGGTAATAACTGCTTGATCCAAGGATAAATCTGACTGCCATTCTGGTCAAGAAGGAATTTTTTTCCTAGCTTGTTGCAAAATTGTGCTAAAAAAATGGTTTTTTTGCCTTCTTTTGGATCAACAGCAAACAACAAATGTGAGGAAGGCTGAACTTGATGGACGCAAGTCTCTTTTCAGCTATGTAACTATGTAACTATGTATGTAACACTTAACAGACTTGTCTAAGTCTAACTGGACACTTCAGACTCAAGTACATGGGAAGTCATCCTCCAGGACCGGAAAGGAAAATTCCTGTCATTATTATTGTGCAGTGTGAGCTTTTGACATTTTTTCCAAGCCCCACTTTTATACAGTACAATAAATATAATGCTAACATACGAGTTTATGATTTGTTTATGGAATTAGTTTTATTTATGTTAAGGTATGTTTTTGGAAAACAGACAAAAATTAAAGGAAGATATCACAAACTCTAATTACATCAAAAATGTAAATAAAAACTAGAGTGACTTCTGTTTCAAAGAGGCAGTCTGAGCACCATTACCACTACAGCCTGTTATAGTGGTAATAGTGCATGTTGGCTTTGGGCACCATCTGTTGGTCCGACGTTAAAGTGTTTTTTTAACAATTTGACTGTGGGTCCTCCCAGGCACCTGTACACTCCCAAATTGCTTGGCATATTACATTTATATACATTTCTATTACTTTGCAATGTAGCTAGCTCCAAAAAGCAAATGCATATTTACTAAAGTAAAATAACATATCTGTGATATATAACATCCAAATGGCTTTGGCTTTAGTTAATTAAGCATCTTCAATAAGAAATGCATTTGCGAATGTCATACAGTTTGCACAGAGATAACCTCTAAAACATCTCATTAATAAGCAGTGTAATAGCAGTCACAGAGCACTACTGAAGAACACTACAGATGTTCATTGCTTTACTGGACTTCAATGTGGCTAATTAGCTGTTATCTTATAAAACCCTTCTTAAAGGGACACTACACTGCCCCCCTCACCCCGTAAATACATTAAAAAAATGTTTAGTAAAGGTACCCCTCAGAAAACATACATGGCTTTAATTATGCATTATTCATTGGTGTATATCTGAAAACAGCTTGCATATGCAGAGCTATTGTCTGCCACGTTTGCAAGCCCTTCCCTTCTAACCCAGCCCAAACTTTCTGTGGCTGTCCAATCACAGACTTCGTAATGAAGTTTAAAGAGAACTGTTTGCAAGGCAGGTGCTATGGGCAATTGCTGCCTCGTGAGATGAGCTGCACTGAGCTTAACAACAAGGAAGTAACAGAACCAAACAAACGCTTATACAGAGTATAAGAAAAAGTAAGCTCCCCAATATATGAATAAACAAAAATAGATACCACCTGGTTATATATATATATGCCAGAATCTTGAAAAATAAAAGTTGTATATAATGTAATATAGTAACAAAAAGGGGGGTGGAGGATGGGGAAAGTGAGAGCACTCACAAGATGCAGGAAAATGTAGGCATGTCTCCCCAGGAAGGGGCAAGTGTCCGTCTGGCTGCGCTTCAATGGCAGCTGTAGGTCATGAAAAGAAGAAAAGCCAATAGCGTAATATAGTAAAAACAATGCTTTCAAGGGTTAAAATGCACTTACAAGAAGGCAGTATGTTCAAGCATATCTCAAAATCAGCAAGCTGGAATAAGCTGGAGTGAGTAGGAGTGAGCAGGAACAAAAGTCAATAAAACAAATAATTAAAAATAAAAGTCCAAAATTAGTATCCAACGTGTTTCGTCCAATCAGTGGACTTACTCTGGGATCTGGGACACTGCGGTGACTTCTTCATTTATATATGGCTCCTGATTTCAGACATCTGATCAGTTGGCAGCCGAATGCTTTCCACCATGGAACATGCTATTCACTTCCTTTAGGCTAACGTCACTTCCAGCATTCGGCTCTGTCTATCTGACGAACAGATCGGAACTTGCACAGGTGCGAATCCAGTCGCACATGCATACCACCTTCTTTCGAATGGGAACAAGCAGCCTGATTTCTTTTAAAAAACACACACGAAAATGTGACCCATGTGTGTTCTGTACATTGACAGAAAATGACCAATGGACGGATTGGCAACTGTCATTTAAAAAACATGCAAAAGAAAAACATGGATAATCAAAACAATATAAAATGAAAAAAATTATATATATAAAAAAAATGAAAAAAATCATGAATGTAATAAAATAAATGAAAAATATATGAAAAAAGGCAGAAGGGAGAATATATATATATATATATATATATATATATATACAAATATAAAAATAGATATATGTATGTGGGAGGAAAAACAGCATATCCCCAAACATGAATATATGATATATGAAATATATGAAAAACCATACGCAGAAACCAAACAAGAGAGAAAATTTTTTTTATTCAATTAAACCGGCCAAATCTATATCTATATTGAGACCTAACTTAAAGGGACTCTCCTGTGCCACTCATTCCAGCTTGATGATTTTGAGGCCCACCTCGCGTGGAGATATGCTTAAACATACTGCCTTCTTGTAAGTGCATTTTTAACCATTAAAAGCGTTGTTTTTACTGTATTACGCTATTGGCTTTTCTTCTCTTCATGACCTACAGCTACCATTGAAGCACAGCCTGACAGACACTTACCCCTTCATGGAGAGACATGAATATATTTCCCTGCAACTTGTGAGTGCTCTGACTTCCACCGTCCCCACCTTTTTGTTACTATATTACACTATATACAGCTTTTTTTTTTCTAAATTCTGGCATAAATATAACCAGGTGGTATCTATTTTTGTTTATTCATATATTGGGGAGCGTTTGTTTGTCTCAGTTCAGTGTTGTTTGTGAGGTTCACCATTCAAGCTCCTGTTTTACCTTTACCCCTCTAACAGTAACTGATTTTCTGTTTTGCACCAAGTAACAGAAACAGTTGACTGATTGACAGCCGGTATAACAAGGTCAATATACGAAAGTGGCCATTTCTGTTGAATTTTTTTTTTGTAAAATGAAAAATGAGGCCACACTCTTCACACATAAAACACTTCAGCAATCTGAAACTTTATAGGTCTGGAGTGTCCCTTTAAAATATACAGTATGTAGTAGTATATACGTATAGTTTTTTTGCGGGGAAAAATGTGGAGAAATAGCAGCAATCTTCTATTTTCCAGCTCATCCATAATATAATATTTTACCTTAACATTAGTTTTTCCTTTGTCAGTACTCCCCAGTTTCCAGATTAATGATTAAACCCTTGGGTGATTGTTTTGTCACCAATTAGCCAATGTGGAATATACATTTCTTAAACAGCCTGCTGAAAAAAAAAAAAATACTAAAATCTAATAGATGCCAAGATCAGCACTTGATATAGAGCCAGAATATTACACTTATAGAAATTCATACTAATAAATAATAAATATATATATATATATATATATATATATAAAGAAATTAATAGGTTCCAGATCAATAAACATTGTTTAAAATAAAGTGCCCAGTTATATTTGTTAGAACAATTGCAGCATCCTACACAGAGACAAACCAACGCATATTCCCCATGAGAGTCTGATTTACATACCATCACTGAACCTTTTACTATCGGGGATAGTATATTACAACAGTTGTCCTTTCCTTGGATTCAGTTCTACCCAATGTGTCATTTAATACATCTGAGAGCAGTGGGTAACTTATAGTATTGATTTGTTCAGTCTGCAATGCATTTGCTGTAGCACTTTTTCCTATACAATTCCAGTAAAGATCACAACTTCCAATGCAATGTCATATACTGCAGGGCTCTGATCTGCATAATTCATACACTGCCATAAAGCAGCCCAGATCTGCTGAGCCTGCATAATGCCAATACAGGGGTTAGAGATATAATCAGTGAGATGCAATAGTCTTTGTTTTTCTGAGTGATACAAAACACACACTCCACCGCTGCCACTATTATCTTCATCATCTGGACTAGTATATATATATATATATATATATATATATATATATATATATATAATAATTGCATATTGCCCATCCTTTAAGAAAATCATGATTCTCACTCCGGTTCATAAGTATATGGAATAATTCAAAGGTCACTAATGCTGGTAGTATTTTGTTGTTAATTATATTTTAAATAAATCATATGTTTTCTCGTCATATCCCTTTATCGGAAATCATACCTGTATTGGGCTGTTTAATTTTTCTGTTTTTGTTGCAATGACTTACTTAGGCTCTCCATAAGTTTAAAGGTTAATTCAGAAGTGGAGCTCGTTTTGACTGTTCCTGTAAGGGTATCAACTACACCTTTTCTGAAGAGGCCCAAAGGAGGCTGAAATGTACATGGGGGAAATGTACAGTGCTAACGTCCCTCTCGTGATTAGGGAGCTTGCCAGTATTTCAAATGAGGACTGCCCGTATGGGAAGTATCAGTCTGGTATGCAAATAGTATAGGCTCTGTAATAGCACAGGTGAGCAAAAACATTTTTGAGACCTGAGTGGGAACATGAGGTTTCTCTGAGCTTTTGTCCATTCTCAGAGTTCTCATATTCTCTGTTTTGTTGCAATGCTTTACTTTAAAGTAATACTACATGCTATAAAACATCTTTAGCTTAATGAAGTAGTTTTAGTGTATAGATACTGTCCTTGCAGTCCTACCGTTTAATTCTCTGCCATTTAGAAGTTAAATCACTTTTACAGCTCTAGCCACACCTCCACTGATTGTGAATTACACAGCCTCCATGAAAAATGGTTTCATTTTCAACCAGATGTTAACATGTCTGTATTCTCAGTATTACATACAGCCACAGAGGGAATGACTGGGCTCTGTACATCCAGAGAACAATGTATACCAATCATGAGATGAAAGATGCGTGAGGTTGGAAAAAAACATACGTCTATTCTCTGTTCAGTAAAATATGCACGCTGATGAAGAGAAGAAACTGTAAATATAATGGGCTGTTTTTTAAAAGAGTTTGCACCCAGGTTAGAATAGAGATTTGCCCATGGCTTTAGTATTATCATTGAGCGAAGACCAACGTTGGGTCTGTCGCCATTAGTGTTGGTTCCTTCCATACTGTGTTTCAAATGCCAAAAATTTCATTAGTTTGAGAAGGAAAGTGGAAACATTATTCAACGCAATATTTATTTAATGTGCGCTGTAATGGGGAGAATGTTTATCAAGGTAAAATGAACTGTCATTTAAATCCATTACAAGGTG